TGGGGGGCCGGGACCTCGTCCCGGCCCTGCCACTGACTCGCTGTGTCATCCTTGGCGAGCCCCCTCCCCCACCCCGGGCCCACCTTTTTGCCCCTCTTTAGGGAGGGGCTTGAACACAGTGACCATCGCGGTCCTCTCTTGTCTAAATCTCAGAATTAGGAGCGACGGGGAACGAACCACGACAGCTCCCGACCCCGCGGGTTAGAATCAGGGGAAGACCAGGTCTCGTCCTGGGGTCGGACTGTTGCGGTCTGTCCCGATGCACACCTGAAATCACCCCTAAGTGCAGTTCTCATGGTGGGGAGCCTCCAGGCCCACTTTCCACTTGGGAAAGATTGGCCGCTCAGGCAGGCGACCCACCCACCCACCGTAAGCTCCAATACTTTAGCTCCCCCCCCTTAGATTAGCGATATCCCTTAAAATTTAAATGCATCCGAACCACAAGTGCCCCTGGCAAAATCTGAGCAGCAACACAGCCCTCCCCAAGGTGTTCACGGGGTTTAGTGGAAATTGTGGCTTGTGGGGCGTTTTCTAGTTCTGTGGCCGGAGCGGCGCCGGGCCTGGCCCGCGTAGCTATGGGCTTCCTTTGTGTTGCTGAGTTAGTCAGTCTCAGATCCCGAAAGACCTAGCCAGTTTCTGAATCGCGAACTTGACTTTTTTTTAAGAAGAGCATCTATTTTTTTGGCAAAAAAATAGAAGGAAATGGGACAGAGCTCTGTTTAGCTTCCCAGCCCTGAGGGTCGGGCACCTAAACAGCCCTTGGGTACCAGATAGGACTATTTTGCTTCTTAAAGTATTTGGATAGGAATCAGTCCTCCGAGCTTTGCTGAGTATCACTGCCCTGTTTACCTTGCTCCAAGCATCACCATCGCCTTCATCATCTCGGTCATTCAGATCACCTCGCACACACCACATGCGTCACCGTCATCACAAACCATCCGCCTTGTCACCCTCTGCCGCTGGACCACCCCCAAGGCCCTTCCGATTCTCATTCAAAGCCTGTCATTTTCCCCAAACCCTGATGTCCCACCCAAGCCACTGTCATCATTCCCAATTCCTTAGCGTCCCAGCCCCGAGATGCCACCCTGGTCACCCCGTCCCTGACAGGTGATGTCACCCCAAACTCCCATCACCTCCCCCACCAAGCCCCTCCCATCTTCACCCCAAATCCCTCCCCATTTTACACCTGTCCTTCCCCTCTTGCCTCCCCACAATTCTCCCTCGATCCCCAAACCCTATCACCACTGCCAAGTCCC